GATTTCATTCTTCAGTGAGAAGTTGTCGGGCTCCCGATTGAGATATAACACGTATGATGTTGAATTTAATGCGCTGGCGCGTGCTTTGCGCCATTGGCAACACTATCTCTTCCATAGAGAGTTCGTTTTGTATACCGACCACGAGGCCCTGCGCCATCTTGCCTCGCAGGATAATATTTCAGCCTGACATGCGTCATGGACGTCGTTCCTTCAACAGTTCACGTTCGTCCTTCGGCATCGTTCGGGCGCCTCGAACAGAGTTGCTGATGCATTGAGTCGTTGGGTGCTCTTACTGTCTGAGCTGCGTGTGTCAGTGATTGGCTTTGAGGTTATTTGTGATGTCTATCCTACTGACTCTTTCTTTGGCCCTATTTTGGCCCGATTACGGGATGACCTTGTGAGGATTACATGCTCGCAGATGGGTTTTTGTTCCGGGGAGTTTGTTTGTGTGTTCCGAACTGCAGTTTGTGGCAGAAGCTTATTGCCGATCTTCATGGAACCGATCACGTGGGCCGCGATCGATCCGTCGAATTGGTAAGTCATTCTTATTTTTGGCCTTCTCTACGCCGTGATGTTGGGCGTTTTGTGACTTGCTGTCGTGTCTGGCAGATATCGAATGGTGTGGCTACGAATGCCGGTTTATACCGTCCCCTTCCTATTCCGTCCCAGCTATGGCAGGCGATCAGTATGGACTTCGTGTTAGGCTTGCCTCGTACACAGCGGGTTTTTGATTCAATTTTTATTGTGGTGGATCGATTTTCGAAGATGGCACACTTCATTCCGTGTAAACGGACCACTGATGTTGTTCATGTGGCCCAATTGTTTTTTCGGGAGATCTACCGCCTTCATGGTTTGCCTTCGACGATCGTTTCTGATCGGGATACCCGTTTTTTTAGCTATTTTTGGAGGAGTTTGTGGCGTATGGCGGACACTAGGCTCGACTTCAGCAGTGCCTTTCGTCCTCAGACGGACGTCAGACTGAGGTGGTGAATCGTTCCTTGGGGAACTTGCTTCGTTGTTTGGTGGGGGCTAACATTCGCAGTTGGGACCAGCGCCTGATTCCGGCAGAGTTCGCGCATAATTCGGCTCTTAGTCATATGACCGGGTTCCCTCCTTTTCTGGTGGTGTATGACATACATCCGCGTGGGCCGACCGGCATAGTGGCGTTGATGTCCGACAGCAGTGGGGATCGTCGTGCATCGGATTTCATCGCCGATGTGCAGCAGACACACGCGGCAGCCCGGGCCGAATTGGAGGCGACTACGACTTCTTATAAGAAGCAGGTTGATACTCATCGTCGCCACGTGGAGTTCGAGGTAGGTGATTTTGTTTGGTCTGTTTTGACAAAGGACATATTTTCTGCTCAGAAAATTGGTTCGGTTGAGGTTGTTGAAAAGATCAATCCCAATGCGTTTTCCCTAAAGCTCCCATCACATATTAGCACATCAGACGTTTTTAACGTCAAACATGTGGTACCATTCGAGGGTGACAACTCAGACGGTGACGAGGCCCATTTGGATTCGAGGGCGAATCCTCCTCAACCCGGGGAGGATGATGGAGACGAGGCCACGTTGGCGTTTCTGCAGAAATATAACCGTCTTCGAGTTTAGATTATTTATTTTCCGGTCTTTATCAGTTGTTGGTTTATTAGCTAGTATGGTTTTAAGTTATGTTGTTTTTATTAGTGGAGTAGTTATTTAAATAATTGAGGAAGTTGCATAGTAGGGGGCTCTTCATATATGTACCCACTCAGTGAACAATATTATTCATTCTGCGTATTATCATTTTAAGAAAACTGAAAATTGTTCTTGCGATTCTATTCCCTTTCGTATACATCCTCTACATCATAATGTCTAAGCAACACTAGAGCGGTACATGACGGGGGTAAGTCACGTCAATAATATCATGTCTTTGCTGCTCTGAAAAGCGCCATAAGACATGTGTCGTCGTATGAAGGGCGTATAGATTTCCTAAAGCATATAGTATGAGATGAGAAGATTCTACGATCCCGTTACGAAACCATTTCGTCGTGGTTTGTAACAATTAGATCAATTATCAATGACAATTACATGATGATTTAACGGTTAAATCCCGACAAATAGTTTCCTACCAGGACTGTAGCATTTATGTTTCGGGAATTATTATCAATTATTGCCATAATTAATCTGAGTTACAATATTAATGATTGATCGACCAAGTGTTAACAAAAAATTGCGTATTGGGCAATCAAACTCCTTGCTGCCCAAGTCAAAATTTCAGAAATCGGAAAACCGCCCTTTTCCTTCCTTTTCCCCTCTATTTAAGGCCATCCCAAATCCTCACATCCTCTCATCTCCATTAACTAAAGCTCGCCGAGAAGAAGAAAAAAAACACAATGAGAAGAGAAGGCCGCCCGCACGGCATGGTCCGCACATGCCCTT